TAAACTCCGATGAATTAAAAAGTAAAGCCTGTGTGTTGTGTATATTTTTATTGAAAATACACTTTGGACATACCATATATTCTAAACAGGTTTAGCATCCCTCATCTTCATGTACTTGTTTTTGTGTCAGAGGACACACATGCACTGATATTCCCAACCAAGACACAGTACAACACTGTGTGATGGCTTTGTCTTCCATCTTATTTGAGGCATTTTTTCTATTTTTATTTGGCACTTGGCCACTTACTCCAGGTAAGCAGGTTGGGAAGCCTCTTTGGTATCTTACTACCTCCACTTCCTTTGTACTATAAAAGTGCTGTGATTATAGATATATTACACAGTGTCTGACTGTGTATATATATAGATATATTACACAGTGTTGAATTCTTGGCTACTGTGACAATATGTATACCCACTGAGTCATCTATCGGGCTCTAAAACACTCAATTTTTAAAAGAAGACTTTGGATCTAAATTAAAGAGGTGGCTATAAGTGTATTGCTATTAATTATGGAACTATTAGCAATAATAATTAATTAATTATGGAATTAATTATTATTGCTAATAATTATGAGTCATCTATCGGGCTCTAAAACACTCAATTTTTAAAAGAAGACTTTGGATCTAAATTAAAGAGGTGGCTATAAGTGTATTGCTATTAATTATGGAATTATTAGCAATAATAATTAATTAATTATGGAATTAATTAATTATTATTGCTAATTATGCACTCAGAAGCATAATTATTAATTATGCTTCTGAGTGCAGAGCACTTTCAATTAAACCTCTAATCCAGTTAGAGGGCCTGTGTTTCCCTCTAAGAAGAACCATTTGAGGTCATTTATTCTTCCTTTAATACAAGATAGACAGAAATTTGTAAAGCTGGTACTTTTGTAGCAAATAAAGTATGCTTGTGACTTTGACATGAAATAGCACAGTTTTAGGAATTCACGACTAGGAACATGTCTCAGGAATAAAGTACTTATCACACAAACCCAAGATTTCAGAGTTCAACTCCTCAGAACACAGAAAGGGCCTCATGTGCTTGTGCATCTTAATCTCAGGGAACCTTGAGGGACATGGGAGATGGAGACAGGAGACTGTCTGGAAAGTTATACTTTAGATAGTCTTGCTTTTTACAGCTGTTAACAACAAGAAACTCTGCCTCAAAACTAAGTTAGGAGGCAAGGACTGCCAGTCAAGGATGTCCTCTGACCTAAAAAACATACACTGGGATCAACAGACACAAATGCATACACAGATGTGAACAAGAATGCATATCAAATATGAAGATGAAAAAGTAAGTTTAGGTTGTTGATCTAATAAGACTGGGGATCATTATCTGCTAAAAAGACATTGGAAATAGTGGTCAAGGTTGAAGGTTTTCTTAGGTTTCTGGAGATCACTTCAGCAGCGGTGCTATTTTGGACTAGGTTCACACTGCAGGTGAAAAGTCCCCATGACAAGTTCCAAGACTGTGATGACGGCCAAAGCAGAAACTAGGAAAATAAAGCTGCTGGTCCAGAATATACTGGCAATAGGCTCTGAAGTACAGCAGTCTTAGCTCTGACCTGGGAAGAATATAGCTGACAAAAGAGTGTTGCTTTTCTTGAGTTTGGAAGCTGGTCATGAGTTACAAAGACTCAGGATTACACAAAAAGGCATATGAACAAAGAAACAGCCAGGCGGTTGTTTCAGCATTCACACATGAAAGAACTGTTAAAACAATTTGAAGGTGCCACAACTGTCATGGCTTCTAAGAATGCAGGCAGAAGGATGCTTAGAAGCAAAAAAAAAAAAATACTTTTTCATATACTGACCATTGAGAGCATAGTAATCAACAAAATACCTCCAAAAAGTTCTGACAGATAGGACTGTGGGGCCTTAGGGACAAGCAGGTAGATGAGTGGAACAGGAACACTGACACCATGAGCATATAAATACAAGGTTACTGGAGCATTCAAAGCAAATCTATGGAAAAAGCACTGCTATCATTCGTGTGTGTGCAAGAGAGAGAGAGAGAGAGAGAGAGAGAGAGAAAGAGAGAGAGAGATTGTGTTTTAATCAAGAGCTAAATTTTCTCTGTTTCTTCTCTATGAGGGAAGGTGGGAAGGACAGCAGTCATTAATCATCACCAACTGTTGAAGAACTAGTATAGAGTTCTTAGGCTGGGCCTTGTTGCCCATGCCTTTAATCCCAGAACTTGGAAAACAGGAGGCACACAGATCTCTTTGATTTCAAGACCAACATGATGCATATAGTGGGTTTAAAGTAATCTGGACTGCATAATGAGACCTGTTTCAAAAAATTATTTGTAAATATCTAATGAGAGATATATTAGGGACTCAAAAATAAAGAATTTAGAAAACATGCTAAGTATTTTTATATGAATAGTTAAATAATGATCACTTTTAAACATATGTCACAGTGGAGGAGCAGCTGCAGTAGAATCAGAACAATCAATGAAAACATGTGTCAACTTCAACAAAGGTAAGAATGACTCCAACTGCTCCTACCTTCCCTAAAGAAAATAAGGAAGAGTAAAGATTTTAGATCCCCAAAAAGGAGTTAAGGAAATCCAGTATAAATGCAGTTCTGTGGTTTTCAAATATTCTGAAAAGTCAGAATTAATTAAGAATTTATTTCAAAGAACTTTCAACTGTGAAAATATATTGTCAAAACATTGCTTATTTTATATTAATACTGATATCTGTACTGCTTTGAATAAAGGAGAAATCAACTTTACACACGTGTCCTCCATAGTCACATTGCAGCAAATAGGTTTATTAGAAATACATATTCTCCTTGAGTTTTATGTCAAAAGTCTTGTATTTTGTACTGCATAACAGTACACAGGTAGGTGTCACTAGAATGTAATTATGTCACAAACCAACCTCAGTAATCAATAACTTTCATTAAATAATTTCCTACCTTATGATATAATTAAAATCTTCTGACCTCTTTAATGTCTGTGCAATTTCTCAATTTGGACAGTTTTGTCCTACTGTATAATTGTTTTCTTTAGAAATCTCCCATTTAGGGGTGAAAGCTTCATTCTGTAATGAATGTATTGAGTTTATGAAGACTTATCAATCCTGACATGTTTTCCTTTTCTTTTTCTTTCTTTCTTCCTTCCTTTCTTCTCTTCTTCTTTTTTGTTTTGATTTGGTTTTCTGAAGAGCTAGACATTGAGCACAAGGCTTTGGGAGCATTCTAGGCAAGCACCCTACCCATTACCTACCTTCAGTTCTTTTCTCTTTATTTTTCTTATAGAACATGGTAAGGGTGAATATCATTTCCATATTGCAAAACATGATTCAGGAATAAATATTGGAAAAAAGCAGAGTGTAGAAAATGACATCATTCTGTATTTCAAAGAATTGTCTGCTTCTCCATTGAGTCTGGAGAGACTTTGTGGCAGTGGCAGGAGCACCACGTAGTATTTACTTTCATCAGCTGTCATCACAGTGTCTGTCAGTGACAACCACACTAAGTAGAGAATGCAAAACCCTCTTCCCTCAAGAGGTAAGATGAAGAGAGTCAATATTAATGTAATGGAGACAGCTTTGTGTCACTGTATTATGAAGTTTGCTGTTCATGGCATCTGTGGTGGTGAGAACTGACTGAGGCCTCCTGCATAATAAGCATAGGCTTTCCTACTGAGCCGCAATCCCAGTCCACTAGTTGGTGGCTCAAATGACCTTCCTGAGTCATGAGGAATGCTTAAAAGCACATTAAGTTTCTCTGACTTTAATCAAGACAAAAAAATAAATGAAGGTTTCATTTCAGTTTTGTTTTCTTATGTTTATTTTGGTTTTGTGAGACAGGGTTTTCCTGTGTGTTGACTTTGAGCCTAACCTGAAATTCATTCTGTAGACAAGGCTAGGCTTGAAATTACAGAGATCTGCATGTCTCTGGTACCAAGTGCTGGGATTAAAGGAGTGTACCATCACTGCCCAACTCAAACGTTTATTTCTAAAATCAAGCTGCAAGTGTCTAGGGAAGGATTGAGTGAGTTTATTGTTTACATATGTAAACATGCACAACAATCCTATGTCAGAAGGAAGCCCATGGAATTTGCTGCTGCAGTCTCACAGCTTCTTCTCTGCTGCTCTCTCACCTGAGGTAGAGCTCGGGGTTATTACTACCAAGGGAGGGATCTTTCCAATAATTCATTTCAGGGGAGATGATGCCTGCTTTCATGAGCATCCTTTAAGCTGCATATAAGGCTGGGAACACAGATAAAACTAAGGAGCTTCTTCCCTCAACAGGGACGAGGAGAGGAATCCTGTTGCACTCCCTTGAGCTGTTAGGTAAAAGTCTTTGCCCCTCTTCTCTTTCTTTCTGTTGGGTTATACCCTGATACAAAAGACAAAAGCCATACATGTAGTCCCAGTGGTAGCATTTTGTACCATAAAATGAACAATTTTAACTAAAAAGCTGAACAAGATTCTTTGTTTCCCTGAAGAACAAAAATGTGTATAGGCTCATGGATTTTTTTTTCCATTTGAATCTGTTGTTTTGTTTGTGAGACACCGTCTCATTGTTAGGTAGTTCTCGCTGTCTTGGGAATCACAGGGATCCACCTGCCTTTGCCACCCATGTGCTGGGATTAAAGTTGTGTGCCACCATCCAGACTCTAGAATTTTTCTCAAGTGTCATTATCCCAAAGTCAAACAAGAACCACAGAAGCTATTTTGTGACACAGTCAATTGATGCTTATACTGGTAAGGATGCTACTCTCCATCTGTCTGAGAGAGATCATTTAGGATCATCTCAATTGTTTAGGTATTATGCTTGTTAAATTTAAGTCTTCTTTTATTTGAAATATTAAGAAAATGAATGAATTCCCCATGAGGAAATTTCTTACAAAGGAGTATTTACTCTAGAATAATCAAGATTCATCTCAAAAATTATACTATTTGTCTAATAATTTTATATGTTATATTTCTCTTGCATTGTAATGAATTAATTTTGATTTTTTTTAGAAGAAAATTTCAGCACTGACATAAAGCCTTCTTGCAGGTAAGGTCTAACAATATATAAAGACTAAGGAAATTCAAAGATAACAAGCTAATTATTGGTTGTATTCTCAGATAGATACTGATTTATACACTCAATTTTTGTGTTGTCTTACAACCCCACAGTTTTTTCTATGTATTTTTACACTGAAAAATTATTGTTTTTAGATCATGGGCATGAGGTTTTTACTCAACCATCACTTCCCCTGTACCAATTCGGTGTTTTGGAAAATGAGCTTCCTAATGCTTACCACACACACTATGTCCATCTGATACCTTTTCAAAACTTCCTGAAATCAGCTAGTGAACTAGATCTTCATCGCATTTGTCATTCTGAGAGCTGACAGGATTTGGGATCATTCTGCATTATCACACAGTATTACAAGAAGCCAACAAATTACTTTCTTCCTTTGACACCATCTCCACATGCAGAGGCCCTTTTGTTCTGTATAGCACCCTTTCATAGTTGGTGGAAGATCCCATGCCTTCCTCCTACCACAGTGCTCCATCCATCACTTTTCCATTCCTGTGAGCTGTGTTCTACAGTAATGAAGTCTCTGGATCTCAGTAGATTATCTGAATGTAGAGAGCCAAACTGTGGCATGTTTACTCTTTATGTGTTTATAAAAGGGGCTTTGTCTTCCCCATCAGTAGGACATGAACATAGAGTAAAAGGCCCCTTCTGTCAGTGATCTGCTATCTCAGACACTGATTTGGCAGAAAATTAAAGGTGGTATGTCAAGCTAGTTCTGTGCTCATCTTAATTGATTACTTCCATAAAGAGGACAATTGTGTTATCATTTGTGGGAACATGTATCATAAAGCATTCGATACACATAAGTAAACTGCTTATTACTAATTATTTATTAATAAATTACTCCAAGTTAAAAGGTCCAAAATGTATCACAGTTAATATCCAAAGTGCAGATTCATAAATTACAGTAGCTACAATAGTTCAAAGACACACCTTGTAAAAACCATGTTCTCTTCTACTAAGAGTTCTAAACTGTCTCAAGCTGAAATTATCCACTGAGTTTTATTGTTGTTTGTTCATATTTTTATCTCATTAAGTGAATAGCAATGCTCATTTGGCATAGAAACAGGCCGATTGTAGTTTCAAGTCCACTCATGAATGGACTACTAAGGGACAGCCTGAGCATAGCCTAGGCCATGGTATCTTGTCAGAGTGCTAGCAGAAGCAGGAATCTATTCTATGGTCCACAAACAAACCTTGTGAGAGATAGCATCACAAGCATTGAGAGCCCACGAAGTAACCTGAGAGAGAGGGGTTCTGTGATGCTCTAGGAACAGATGATGACATGACAAGTGGAATCGGGGTACTAATTACATTGAGCACAAGAGTGACCATTAGTTACTACAGCATTAAAAAAGTTCTGTGGAGAAACTAATGTCTTTCTTTGTGTGTGTGTGTGTGTGTGTGTGTGTGTGTGTGTCTTTCTATGTTTTTAGTGGACTAAATTCTTTTTTCACATGAGAAAAAGTGTTAAGGAAATTGTCACCAAACCTAATCAACTGATTGAAGGACAATTTAATGGCTGATGGTAAATCTCTAAAGTATTTTAGGTAAACATTTGGTAAATGTTTTTATATGAATATTAAAATATTACTTTTTAAAATATGCCACAGTGCAGTAAGACCAGCAAGACAGCTAAAATCCCTATTGAAGAATTCTTTCCGGATTAAGAGAGGTAAGAGTGATGGTGAATACTTGACTACCAACTCCCTAATTTCAAAAACAGCTTGGTTTTTTCAAAATATGAACAGAGGAAATAATATAGAAATTAATTCTATCTTCTTTTGATCTGCCTTCAAATGGGTTTGGATTCAGAATTATTTAAGAAGTAGTTTCTGAGAAATTGTCAGTCTTAAACTTTATCATCTGAAATATGTTTATTTAATGTGAGCCTCTGATGTACACGGTATCTTTGTATAAATAAAAAGATCTCTAACTATTCCACAGTATGTGTCCTCTATGGTCATGTATCCACAAGTTGGCTTGTTATAAATGGATTTTTTATTAAAACCACATTGTGTTTATGCTACATATTATTATATACATCAATGTCAATGTCAATAAGATGATCATGTTAAAAAACCAAAAATAAAGTATTCAATTATTTTAAGTTTTTTGAGAACTAAATGCGAATAAGTTTTTCTGGCTTTTGCTCCTTCTATAATTTCTCAATTTAGACATATTAGACAATTCACATATGGTATTATGTTTATCTTTAATTATCTGTTATTTAATCTGAATATATCTTGACAAAAGTCTTGACCTAAGAAATAATAGGCTTGCCCAAAATTTAAAGAAATAAGTGGACTTTAAGTCCTGTAGGCAGTTTGGGGGATTGAACACTGCTCTTATAAACATTCTCCGGTAGCGCACGCCCTATTGACTATATTGTCAGCACCTTTTTCCTTTGGTTTTATTAGTTAGTTTAAGATATGATGATACTTGGTTTATATGATGATAGACATAATTTCCAGAGCAATTTGCCACAATAGGAGGAAGGCTGAGAAAGTGCATCATTCTACAGTCGACAGCACTGATTGGTGCATTGAGTATATGGTTTCTATCTAAAAAATTGTTCATTTCTTTTACATTTTCCAATATTGTGTAGTACAGGTTTTGTAGTATGACCTAATGATTCTCTGAATTTCCTCAATGTCTGTTGTTATGTCCTTTTCATTTCTGATTTTGTTAATTTGAATGATCTCTCTCCATCTTTTGATTAGTTTGGATAATGGTTTGTCAATCTTGTTGATTTTGTTTCAAAGAACCAGCTCTTTGTGTCATTGATTCTTTGTATTGTTTTCTGTGTTTCTATTTTGTTGATTTCAGCCCTCTGTTTGATTATTTCCTGTCTTCTACTCCTTCTGAGTGAGTCTTTTTTTGGGAGGGGGGTGGAGTGTTATATAGATATCTGTTAAGTCCATGTGATTCTTTACATCTGTTAGTTCTCTTATTTCTCTCTTAAGTTTCTGTCTGGTTGAACTGTCCATTGGATAGAGAGGAGTGTTGAAATCTCCTACTATTAGTGTGTGTGGTTTGATGTATGATTTAAGTTTCAGTAATGTTTCTTTTACTAAGAAACATTCTTTTAGTAAGATTTCTGTGGTGTTGTGGGTGTAGTTAGCTTCCTTGGGTGGAAGTTTTCCTACTAGTACTTTCTGTAAGGCTGAGTTTTTGGATATGTACTGTTTAAATCTGCTTTTGTCATGGAGTATCTTGCTTTATCCATAGATGGTGAGTGAAAGCTTTGCTGAGTACAGTAGCCTGGGCTTGTATCCATAGTTTCTTAGTGTCTGCAACACATCTATCCAGGACCTTCTGGCTTTCATGGTTTCCATTGAGAAGTCAGGCATAATTCTGATGGGTTTGCCTTATATATTACTTGACCACTTTCCTTTGCACCTTTTAATATTCTTTCATTATTCTGTATGTTCTTTGTTGTGATTATTATATGGCTAGGGGATGCTATTCTTTTGATCCAGTCTATTTGGTGTTCTGTAAGCTTCTTGTGCCTTTATAGGGATATCTTTCTTTAGGTTGGGAAAGTTTTTTTCTATAATTTTGTTGAATATGTTTTGTGTGCCTTTGAGCTGGAGTTCTTATTCTTCTTCTCCTATTATTCTTAGTGTTGTCCTTTACATGGTGGCTCAGATTTCCTGAATGTTTTGTGTTAAGAATTTATTGGAAAAAAAAAGAATTTATTGGATTTAATGTTTTTTGACCAATGCGTATTTTCTTTATAGTATGTTCAGCACCTGAGATTCTTTCTTCTATCTCGTATATTCCGTTGGTTATACTTGTCTCTGTAGCTCCTGTTCATTTACCCAGATTTTCCATATCCACAATTCCCTTGGTTTGTGTTTTCTTTATTACATGTATTTCAGTCTTCAAGTCTTCAACTGTTTCTTTCACTTGTTTGATTGTTTTATCATGGGTATTTTTGGGTGTCTTTGAGGGATTTATTCATTTCTTCCAACTTTGTTTGTCTTCTCTTCAATTCAATTTCTTTAAGGGAGTTTTTCACTTCCTCTTTAAAGGTATTCATCATTTTCATAAAGTTACATTCAAAGTCGTTTTCTTCTACTTCTGGGTTAGAATGGTCAAGTCTTCCTTTTGTGTGTCTACTGGATTCTCGTGTTACCATGCTGTGTTTTAGGATATTGGAGGAATTTTTGCATAAGCACCTACCATCTCTTCCTTCAAATGAGGCCAGCAATGTCTTGGCATCTTGGTCCAATTTTTGCTGTGGCTGTCTCTTAGGTCTCCTGAGTATTGGAACAAGCTGTGTTTCAGAATTCCACGGAGCTTGCAGGCTCTTGGGGCCCGTCAGTGTTGGAACAAACTGTGTTTTAGGGTTCCACAGAGCTTTCAGGTGAACAGGCACCATCTTGGATTTTCATTGTGGTAAAGAGGGTTGATGGTGGTCTCCCACATGCTAAGCCTCATTGGCAGTCCATTTGTTGGTGGGACCAACACTCTGCTTCAGCCATAGGCAATGCCAAGGAAGTTATATTACAGTTTATATACTGTGAATAAAATAAACAAGAATTTGCTTTATTCCTTTTTAGAGGGCGGACTTTTAGCATGCAGTGGGAGCTTGATACATTGTCTGTGAGAACTCTGATGTTTCCTGTAAGGTACTACTACCATGGAATTGCTGTTTGGTCCCCATGTTTTTCCATGCTTCTCGCCCTAGTGATACAGTTCAGGGTGCATAGCTACTGCAGGGGGCTTTGCAATAGCTCTTACCATGGGAGGTGATAGGTACTAATGCTGAACTTCTTTGCACTGCCCATTAGCGAAGGACCAGAAGTGAGAACTGAGGGGCTTCTGCAGCTTCCTCAGAAGCACTTGAGGAGAGTACACACCTTGACCCTTCTCTGGAGCTTTGCCAACCTGTCAGTTTGAAATTCTTTGCAGGGGCCATTGTCCTTGGTCTGCTTGTGGTTTTGTTTTGTTTTGTTTTAATTTTGCTATGCTGCAAAGGGCAGTCACCATAGACTTAGCTTTCTTGTGTCTGGAATTTTCATCTTCAATGGAATAAGGTCAACTCAAACCTTAGAGAAACTCTTTTCACTTCCATACAAGATGAGTATACTCATTTACAATTCTCCTACCACCACTAGTCCAGAGACAAAAGCAACAGCAGCAACACTGTGCTACTGCTTTAACACTTCAGCTTGTGATATTGATTCTGGTTAAGATGTCTTATAGTGCTCAAGATCATAGGTGTTTTGTACACCAATTTATTATAAGTAGTAACTTTTGATAAGTTTTTCTCTATTTGAAACATACAAAGAAGTCTCAATTAAGAGTTATCTATATTTGTTGTCTATAAATCAATATTCACTTTAAATTTTAGCCTCATTTGGGGACAAAGTATATGTAGTAAAAAAATATTGGCCTTAGCATTTAATGCTCTTATATTTTACAATTGATTATAACATATTTTGTTTTTCTACTTTATAGGTAGTCGAAGACTAAAAGACGAGGTCTCACTCAGGTAAGAATGTCTGGATTTTAAAATACACTGAGCATGTAGCGAATATAAAGTTTAGAAGCTGCCACCATGTTTTTCTCTGTGTAAGGCAGTTTCAGCTTCTTGATTATATGCTAATCAAAGCTGAATATTTATCTATGGAGAAGCATATAGTTTTAAATAACTGATTATTCCTCTGATACAGCAAGAAATGCTATTAGGACTCCCTGTCTGTGGAGGTGATTCAGTGGGTAAAGTGCTGGCTGTGTATATGGGAAAATGGAAGACGGATTCCCAGGGTCTATATGAGGCCTGTTGGTCTTGTGTGCTTCTAAAATTCTGGTGAGGTTATGATGAGATTGCACGTGGACAGAGAACATCCCCTGACATTTTCTGGATTGCTTGCCTGAGGTTTGCATTCATGAGTGAGAGACCCAGCTAGTAAACTAATGCTTAAGGTTAGGGTCAACTCCCAATTCTATATTCCAATCACCACGCCTACACACTGGCATGTATTTATCTTAAATCACACACACATAGAAATACACAGCATATAACATATTTTGCACATATATGTAAAAGGATCCATTTTCAAGTCATTAATCTTTTTCACTAATTTGTTTGTTTGAGTTGTCTGTGGGAAGAGTATGAATAATATGTCAAGGATCAAAACTCTCCAAGGCTTTGCTAAAGATTACCTCAGAATGGCCTTATAGAAATGCTTCTGTCCAGCAGGTTAATAGCTCCCTTAATGATTTACCCAACTGTGGTGACTCACAAGGTAGGTGAAGTTAGAAAAACAAACTGGTTGGTCCAGAGCTTACCAACCAGAAGCCCTGAAATTTGGAGCTCTTATCTGTAGTTCGGATGGAGTAGAGTTGAGGGTTCTGTATTGCTCTGCAGTGCCCTGTAAATACTCAAGACTTGTGCAGGAAGTACTGGCCATTGCGTATAAAGAGGATCCTCATAGATCAAGGTGGTTTTGGTGCATGCTTTTAATTCTAGCACTCAGGAAAGCAGAGGCAGGCAGATCTGTGAGTTCAAGGCAAGCCTGGTTTACAAGAACCAGTTCTAGGACAGGCTTCAAAACTACAGAGAAACTCTGTCTCAAAAAAACCAAAAAAAAAAAAAATTCATCATGTACTTGCGCACAGACTACCAATAAAGCAGCTTCAAATCACCAAAATATGGTGAATTCCGATATTGTTGGCAGCTTGAGGTTTAGATGTTTAGATTTTTTGATGTTTGATGTTTAGATCAAGATGTTGCTCCCAAAGTAATTTCTTGGAGAGAGTGAGTGACTAAATGTAACGCCTAAAAAGTTTCTTGACAGAAAACAGGACAAGGTGCTTTAGGTTTAGGGGAAGAAATGACATAGGAGCATTAAGTACTTAGAGCACAAAACAGTCAGTTACTGCAACCATCAGAACAAAGTGTGTGGAAAAACCGCCATTCCCCTGTCTTGTGTGCTTGGATGTGTGTGTGTGTGTGTGTGTGTGTGTGTGTGTGTTTTAATCAAGAGATAAATTGTCTGTGTTCTTCTCCATGAGGAAAGGTGGAAAGGAGAGCAGTCATTAATCATCACCAACTGTTGAAGAATGAATTCAGAATTATTTGGCTCGGCCTCTTTGCCCATGCCTTTAATCCCAGAATGTGGGAGGCAGGAGGCATAGATCTCTTTGATTTCAAGACAAACACGAAACATATAGTGTATTAAAAGTTAGCTGGAATACATAATGAGATCCTGTTTCAAAAAATGTTTCTGTAAATATGTAATGTAAGATGTATGAGGGACTCAAAAATAAAGAATTTATGTAATATGTAATATAAGATGTATTAGGGACTCAAAAATAAAGAATTTATAAACATGCTAAGTGTTTTTATATGGATAATTAAATGATGATCACTTTCAACATATGTCACAGTGAAGGAACAATGACAAGAGAGCCAGAGCAGAGAAAGAAAAAGTGTGTCACCTTCAACAAAGGTAAGAATTACTCCATCTGTCCTACCTTCTCCGAAGAAGAAGGAATAAGGAAGAGTAAAGATTTTTAGATCCCAAAAAGGAGTTAAGGAAAACAAGTGTAAATCAAGCACTTTCAAGTGTGAAGTATTTTTGTCAAAACATTGCTTATTTCACTTTAATGCTGATATCTGTACAGCCTTTGAATAAATGAGAAAACATCTTTACACAGCACATGTCTTCCATAGTCACATTGCAGCAAATAGGATTGTCAGAAATACAGATTCTTCTTGAGTTTTATGACAAATGCCTTGTATTTTGTACTGCATATCGCTAACACATCTCACTGCCACTAAAATGAAATTAAGTCACAAAAAACCTTAATCAATTATTTTCATTAACTAATTTCCTACCTTATGATGTTATTAAATCATCTGAGTTCTTAAATGTCTGTGAAAGTTCTCAGTTTGGAAAGTTTTGGCATACTGTATAATTGTTTTCTTTAGAAATCTCCTACCTTAGGGTGGAAGTGTTTCTTTTACAGTGAATGCATTGATTTTAGGAAGACTTAACAATCCTTATATGTTTTCCTTTTCTTTCTTTTCCTTCTTCCTTTTTCTTGGTCCCTGCCTCCCCTCATTCCTTCCACCCATCCCTAAATCAACCCCTCCCTCCCTCCCTCCCTCCCTCCTTTCTTTCTTTCTTTCTTTCTTTCTTTCTTTCTTTCTTTCTTTCTTTTCTCTGAAGTGCTAGAGGTTGAGCATAAGGCTTTGGGAGCATTGTAGGCAAGCACCCTACCCATATCTCTGCCTTCTGTTTTTGTTAAATAGAACATGGTAAGGGTGTATATCATTTCCATGCTGCAAAGCATGATTCAAGAATAAAAACTGAAACAAGGAGCTGGAGAGATGGCTCAGAGGTGAAGAGCACTGCCTGCTCTTCCAGAGGTCCTGAGTTCAATTCCCAGCAACCACATGGTGGCTCACAATCATCTGTAATGAGATCTGGTGCCCTCTTCTGGCCTGCAGGAATATATGCAGACAAAACACTATAGATATAATAAATCTTAAAAAAATTGAAACAAAAAGCAATGTGAAGAAAATGACATCATTCTGTATTTCAAATAATTATCTGCTTCTCCGTTGAGTCTGAAGAAACTTTGTGGCAGTGGCAGGAGCACCACGTAGTATTTACTTTCACCAACTGACATCACAGTGTCTTTTATACCTAAGTTGCCAGTGGCAACCACACTAGGTAGAGAATGCAAAACCCTCTTCTCTCAAGAGGTAAGATGAAGAGAGTCAATATTATTGTAATGGAGACAGCTTTGTGTCACTGTATTATGAAGTTTGCTGTTCATGGCATCTGTGGTGGTGAGAACTGACTGAGGCCTCCTGCATAATAAGCATAGGCTTTCCTACTGAGCAGCAATCCCAGTCCACTAGTTGGTGGCTCAAATGGCTGTCCTGAGACATGGGGGAATGCTGAAAAGGCACACTAAGTTTCCTTGACTTTAAACAAGACAAAAATGAATGATTTCATTTCTTTTTTGGTTTGTTTATGTTTATTTTAGGTTTTTTTTTTGAGACAGGGTTTTTCTGTATGTATATTTGGAGCCTGCCTTTTAATGTATTCTCTACACAAGCTTGCCTTGAACTCCCATAGAGCCTCCTGCCTCTGTTTCCAAGCACTGGGATTAAAGGTGTGAGCCACCACTGCCAGCCTCCAATGTTTCATTTCTAAAAGCAAACTGCAAGTGAACAGTGAAGGATTGAGTGAGTTTATTGTTTACACATGTGAACTTGTACAATGATCCTATGTCAGAAGGAAGCCCATGGAATTTGCTGCTCCAGTCTCACAGCTGCTTCTCTGATGCTCTTGCACCTGAGGTCGAGCTTGGGGTTATTACTCCCAAGGGAGAGATCTTTCCAATAATTCATTTCAGGGGAGATGATGCCTGCTATCATGAGCATCCTTTAAGCTGCATATAAGTCTGGGAACACAGATGGAACTAAGGATATTCATTCCCCAAAGGGGATGAGGAGAGAAAGCTTGATGCCTGCCCTCCCTTGAGCTGTTATGTAAAGGTCTCTGTCCCTCTTCTCTTTCTTTCTGCCAGGTTTCATCCTGATACAAAAGACAGAAACAATACATATAGTTCCAGTGGTAGGAATTTGCCTGATAAAATGAACAATTTTAACTAAAAGGCTCAACAAGGTTCTTCGTTTCCTTGAAGAACAAAAATATGAATAGGCCCTTGGATCTTGTTTTCCATTTTGAATCTTTTTTTTTGTGAGACACAGTTTTATTGTTATGTAGTTCTGACTGTCTTGGGAATCACAGGGTGATTGTTTATTTTTAGGTATTGTGCTTGATAAGTTTAAGTCTTGTTTGATTTGAAATAAACAAAATGGATTAATTCTACATGAACAAATTTCCTAAAAAAGAGTATTTACTCTAGAATAGTCTAGATTAGTCTAAAAATGGATATTATGTATCTAATCATTTTATATGTTATATTTCTCTAGCATTGTAACAAATTCATTTTGATTTTTTTAGAAGTACATTACAATACCAATAAGAAGCCTTTTTGCAGGTAAGGTCTAAGAATACAATAATACTAAGGAAATTCCAAGATAACAAGCCAATTATTGGTTGTATTCTCAGATAGATACTAATTTATACACTCAATTTTTGCTTTGTCTTACAATCCCCATATTATTATCAATGTATTTTAGCCAGAAATATTGTTGTTTTTAGATCATGGACATGAGTTGTATACTCAACCATCATGTCCCAAGTACCAATTCTGCGTTTTGGAAAATGAGCCTACTGATGAAAACCACACTCACTATGTCCATCTGACACTTAGTGCCTTTTCAATTATTTTTCTGAAATCAGATAGTGAACTAGATCTTCATCGCATTTGTCATTCTGAGAGCTGACAGGATTTGGGATCATTCTGCATTATCACACAGTATTATAAGAAGCTAACAAATTACTTTCTTCCTTTGACACCATCTCCACATGCAGAGGCCCTTTTGTTCTGCGTAGGACCCTTTTATAGATGGTGGAAGATCCCATGCCTTCCTCCTACCACAGTGCTCCATCCATCACTTTTCCATTCCTTTGAGCTGTTTTCTACAGTAATGAAGTCTCTGGATCTCAGTAGATTATCTGGATGTAGAGAGCCAAACTGTGGCATGTTTACTCTTTATGTGTCTATAAAAGGGGCTTTGTCTTCCCCATCAGTAGGACATGAACATAGAGTAAAAGGCCCCTTCTGTCAGTGATCTGCTATCTCAGACACTGATTTGGCAGAAAATTAAAGGTGGTATGTCAAGCTAGTTCTGTGCTCATCTTAATTGATTACTTCCATAATAGAGGACAATTGTGTTATCATTTGTGGGAACATGTATCATAAAGCATTCGATACACATAAGTAAACTGCTTATTACTAATTATTTATTAATAAATTACTCCAAGTTAAAAGGTCCAAAGTGCAGATTCACAAATTACAGTAGCTACAACTGTTCAAAGACACACCTTGTAAAAACCATGTTCTCTTCTACTAGGAATTCTAAACTGTCTCAAGCTAATAACCTGAAATTATCCACTGAGTTTTATTGTTGTTTGTTCATATTTTTATCTCATTAAGTGAATAGCAATGCTCATTTGGCATAGGAACAGGCCGATTGTGGTTTCAAGATTCACTCATGAATGGACTACTAAGGGACAGCTTGAGCATAGCCTAGGCCATGGTATCTTGTCAGAGTGCTAGCAGAAACAGGAATCTATTCTATGGTCCACAAACAAACCTTGTGAGAGATAGCATCACAAGCATTGAGAGCCCACGAAGTAACCTGAGAGAGAGGGGTTCTGTGATGCTCTAGGAACAGATGATGACATGACAAGTGGAATCGGGGTACTAATTACATTGAGCACAAGAGTGACTATCAGTTACTACAATTTTAAAAAATGTGCTGGAAAGAAACTACTGTCTTTGGTGTTCTCTCTCTCTCTCTCTCTCTCTCTCTCTCTCTTTCTCTCTCTCTATCTATCTCTGTCTGTCTTTCTCTCTTTGTCTCCCTCGTGTGTTTCTATGCTTTCGGTGGACTAATTTCTGTGGACTAAATCTTTCCTTTCTTTCACATGGGAAAAGTTTTAAAAAAGTGTCACCAAACCTAATCAACTGATTGAAGGACAAGTTAATGCTTGACTGTAAATCTCTAATGTATGTTAGGAAATCAGACAGCAAATAATCAAAGCATTTGGTAAATGTTCTTGTATGAATATTAAAATATTACATTTTAAAATATGCAACAGCGGCAAACGACCACCTGGAGAGCTGAAACCAATACTTAAGAAGTCTCTTCAGATCAGTGGAGGTAAGAGTAATCATGAATACTTTGCTGCTACTTCCCTAGTTTCAATAGCAACTTAATTCATTCAAAAAAGGAACAAAGTAAATAAGATATAAACGTAATTTAATTTTTGAAAATTTGCCTCCTAATGCTCTTCACATTCAAAATTATTTCAGAAATGATTTTCTGAGAAATTTCAGTATCAAACTATATTATCTGAACCATGTTTATTTATTTAACATGAGTCTCTGATGCACACAGTATCTTTGTATAAATAAAAGGACTTCTAACTAGTCCACAGTATGTGTCCTCTAGAATTATGTGACAGCAATTTTGCTTGTTATAAAATGAATTTTTCTTTCATTTTTATAATAAATATATTACATTTATGCTACATATATATTAGTGTCAATGAAAGGTGATCATGTAAAAAACAGAAATACAGTATTCAATTACTTTTATTAAGGATTTTGAGAACTAAATTACCTACATTTTTATGGGTTTTGTTCCTTTCTATAATTTCTCTACTTAGACATATTAGAAAATTCACATATGGTTTTATGTTTATCTTTAATTATCTGCTATTTAATCTGACTATTTCTTGGCATACGAAATAATAGGCTTGGT